ACACACACACACACACACACACACACACACACACACACACACACACACACACACACGGCCAAAGACCTGATAGACAATAGGACAGTAATTGTTTGTCCTCTTAATGAATTATCAGTGCTCCACCTCAGATCTTCATCCTCATTGGTCTACAGGAAGCCAAGCTAATCCCAACAGGTCCTCTTCCCTAGACTTCCCAGTGTCCCCAGAGATCCATACCAAGATAGGCACCCAGTAATAATTGAGAGGCGGAGCTGTATCCTGCACAATCCGGATTCGGTGGGTGAAGAAGAAGAAAGCGAGGATCCCTGCAGAGAGGAGGAAAGCAAAGTGGCTGAGAGCTGTCATCATCACATCCTGTCACACAGGGTGACATGCGGACTAGCAGCGGTTCTCAAGTTCAACCAGTTCCCAGATTTGGGAACAAGCTAGATGGTGCACTCACCCACACTACCCACAATCAGAAGCTTGCCCAACAGGAACAGGAAGTCGGTAACTTTGTCCAGGACAGCCACTCTGCAGGGGACAGGGAGGAGCACATGTCCATGTGGGTTCAAGGACTTAGGGAGGAGGGGAGGAGAGGAGGAGAGGAGGACGCCTCCCCTGACCTGATGATGTTTCTCATGAGCAAGAAGAAGGCGTTCCTGGCAGACGTGCAGAAGTTGGTGCCATAGATGGCGATCTGGAGAGGAAGAGGAGGGATCAGGCCCACTGGCAAGGCGATGGAGGGGGGAGGGGAGGGTCTCCCACCATCAGGGGCTGGCTGGTGGGAAGGTTCACGGTCCCAGGTCCACTCACCATGATATAGGCGTTCCTGTTGAGGAATTTGATGAACTTTTCTAGGCACCAGAAGCAGCACTTGAGACAGGTCATGAGAAATTTGGCAAACTTGTTCTCTGCGGCTGGAAGAGAAAGGGGAAGGGATGCAGAGGTGAGGAGACTTTTCCGGACCAAGTCACCCCCCTCTCCCCCCAAACTCCCCAAGGAAAAGGAAACTTGATCCAGAGGCCTTAGCCCCGCCCCCAAGGGACTAATTGAAAGTTTCAGCCCCGCCCCCACAGCACAGCCCAATCAAGATGAACCCTGCTGCCGGGGCCCAATCAACAGCCAATCCTTGTCAAGAGCTTGACACCACCCCTAAAATAAACCAATCTCAAGCCGGGCATTAGTAGCTCACGCCTGTCATCCCAGCTACTCAGGAGGATGAGATCTGAGGATCAAGGCTCAAGGCTGTGGAATGGGGGGTTCTGGGGGGAATCTTAATCCTTCCCACCTACAAGGAACCAATGCCAGGGTTCTTGACCCGCCCCCCTCAGCAGAAGGAATGCATCCCAGTGGCCTGTCAAGGGAATCGGCCAGGTCAGGAACCAATCACAGACGCCCTCGCCCCAATCCTATCCCACACAAGCAGAAGCCAATCACAGTCCCACTTACTTTGGCTCCGCCCACCCTCTCAGTAAGAACCAATCCTAGCCTTTCATTTATCCACGCCTCCCTCCTAGAGAGCCAGTGGCTTACTTTGGTTC